TAAAACCCTAATGTTTTCCAAAAGCGTTTCTGGAAAACCTGTTAACACAAAAATGTGTTTTTCGATTTTTCCGATCTTATCACGTTTAGCGCACAACATTAATCATATCCTGAGATTTTGAGCTTTACTTTACTCCCATTCTGAAGAGAACACCGCGGGCTATCAGTCTATGAAGATAAATCAATACATTCCTATGTGAATTTCGACAAATCCAAGCTAGCTTTGCAAAGATCCGTTGAAAAACCCGCTTCAGAATATTTTCCGAAATTTGCTTTTGCTTAAAGAAATATGTGGTCAGGTGTCTATCTTCTACCAAAAGTTATTCAAAAAACAACTGATGGCATTGTATTTTGGAATGAATAGTAGTTTAATAACATCGAAGAACTGAGACTACAATATTCTTTTCACTGTAAGTGAAAAAGCAGTCTGATATGATAGTCTACGTAATGTCGTGTTAGTGAAAATATTTAGGTCATACGTGTATTCTTTTTCTGAGGTAGATAAAAGGGATAAAGTAAAGATTACGAGCGATTCTCTAATGAGGCGTCAGTGCTTCTCGAGAGAACCCTATAAGCTCTTATTAGCTTAATGAAAAGAAAAGACTGCCTATGGACCATATTTTTCCCGGCAGCGCCAAGTGCAGCAGCATAGGAAGAAAAATCGAACTCAATTTCTCAAATTCCCTAAAAAAGTTGTTTGTTTCTGTCGAGATTTCGTTTTTTATGTAGAACACTCGTAAAATGATCGAGGTCAGTAGAATATCCCGGAGAGTAGCTATAACAGTGGCGGACCCAGAATAATAACGATAAAGAGGCAAGAATTATCAACAATTTGGTCTCATGCATTTATGCCTCATGTAGCATACAAAATTGAACAGATGAAATGAATGTAGGCGTTTTACAGATGTTACATTCTATCTCTTTTTGTTTACTGCAGCTTTTTCTATGTTCATGAGAAGGTGACGGAAGCGATAGAATAGGCGTCAGAAACTATCTTTAGAACCGCTGGTCTATTTTTAATAAAACTTGATCCGGAAGGATTTTAAAACTGTGCTCTTTCTTGTGGCAATCTCAAAAAATACTTTAAAGATTCATTTAGTAGGACTTCCAGACAACCGTAGATTCTAGGTAGGGGTTTTGAGTAAGACATATTTTTCAGAGCAGTTTTAAATTCAATTCTGAAATACATTTGAACATGCCACACGATGGTTTATTCTGTTCTGAGCAAAACGAGATGTTTCGCAACTCTCCACAACTGTTTTTCGCTGAGACCTAAAGATTTTATGAAAAGTCTCACAGTAAGCCAGCTTTAACGATCATTAGTAAGAGCCATTTAATAGAACCAGTATATCTGAACGAAAAGCAGTAGTGAAGTGTGTTCAATCTAAAACTGTCCTCAAAAACATTCAACGTGATCATGTAGATTTTGTTTCATTATAGGAAAACATCCGTATCTGAAATGGTTGGTGAACGATGACGACAATTGTCGGCCACTATTAGAGTATTTATCCGATATGAATAATAACACACTTCAGAAATATCCGTCAGGCACCGATATTTATTTGCTCGTTAGACGACATTATCCCGCAAGCACTCAACAAGAGATTAAAGTGAAATGTCGCATTGCATGTCGAATTTTGTGGTCTATCAGGCTGTCAATTGTTCGCTGTGTGAACAAAGGTGACACTCAACAGACAACACCATCCACTCTCAACCTACAAGTTGAAAACGTACATAATGTTCCCGATGTACTATACAAATTGATCAAGAAAAATATGAATAGTAATCCATTGTTGGCCCACATAATGGATGATCAAGAAATAATGAATTATCTGAAAGATTCAAATGTAAAAACGTTTGAATCTTACGTGTCTCGTAAAGTAGTTCGGGCGTATTTAAACAGAATAATGTCGTCACCAACAATGTTCGATGTGTTGAGAGTATCTGATGCCACTAGAAGTATTCGTAGGTCGTATATACGTCGTCTGGCAAAATTGTAGCGCTTTATGTAAAAAAGAAGATTCTTCCCGTTTTATTATGTGATAAAATTTTATAATAAATTACAGAATTATGAGAATGAGCTTTAAACCAACTTTCAATAGGTATTAATTTAAGAATGGAATAAAATACTTTCTACCTTAGAAATCCTTCTAACTAATTTAGTTTTCTTCTTTACATCATGGTTAGGAAAAAATCAAAAAAAACTTGTTCCTATATAGACGTGTTCCATGTAAAAATCAGTTTAGACTACTTTAAAACGCACAACTTTCAGGTGTGATAGAACAAGATGGTAGTTGATGATACACTTTAGATCCCAGATCCTAAAGAAATTTTTGGGATGTGTTTTAGTAATTTTTTTGAAACAGACCGACTCCTGTAAATGGACCCTGCCAGTTTTTCCGTATATATCGGTCCCTTTCAAACAGGAGTGAAATACATACAGTTGGATAGAGGAGGCAAAGGCGCATCGACTGGTGTTTTGGGTTTTTTATTGGACCATTAGGAGAGGAAAAGTAGAGTTTCGAAGTACAGGGGTTCTGTAGGAAAATAGGTGTTTGTCATCCTAAGATTAATTTATCTCATGTTTTAAAAATAATCCATCTCCAATTTTGAGCTTAAAAATTGCGCCTTTGAATAAGCTTCAGATTTACATATTAAAAATCGCATGTTGTTTTTATCCTAACTGGTGAAAAACATTGTTTTTCAAAAATATGAAGGTTTTCTGCATCCATGAAAAATGTAAAATTCAATCTTTCTCACGCATTTGATGTGCTCTTGAAAATGGGAGCCAAGCGAGATCTAGATTTTCTATGGCTCTGGCGTTGTAACAGATTTCCTACGAGTCCCAGGACCGGTACCTGGTGACTATCGGTAGCTTAGAAAGCCAATGGACTATAGGTAATCGATCATACCTAGAGTATTTACCTTTACAAAAGCTCTAAAAATCTAGCGAAAAAAAAAGTTTTCCGAAAATTGCGGTTGTCAGGCTGTTTTCATCTAATATTAAAAACTTCACTATTCCCTCAAAATACATCAGAACGAGTTCAAAACTTCAGTATGTAAAGTATTTAGGGTATTCTATATCTTATTTAGAGAAGATCTAGAAAGAGATTTTAGAGAACTCTGAGGCTTTCTGGAAAATCCATTAATAAAAATATGCTTTTTTCGATTTTTCCGATCTTATCACGTTTAGCGCACAACATTAATCATATCCTGAGATTTTGAGCTTGTTCTGATGTTTTTTGAGTGAATAGTGAATTTTTTAATATTAGGTGAAAACAGCTTGAAAACAGCAATTTTTGTACAACCCGTTTTTTCGCTAGATTTTTAGAACTTTTTATAAAAACAAAATATTATGTGTTTTTAAATTCATTTCGTACAAAGTAGGGTTGCTACATTACTATTACTAGTAATAAGAAATAACTACAAAAAGTAATGAAAGTAATAAAAAAGTAATAAAGTAATAAGAAAATAAAAAGACGGTAGAAAATACTTTGGGTAGATGGTTTTCAGTTGGATTTCGGTGAGGGTGTACAACTTGCATTGAACACGCTATGCTTGAAAAATGCGTTTCTATCGTGCACTGCCTCCTAAATGACATGAGAATTCATAGGTGAGTTACCGCGCTTTTTCTACCACTACCTACAACAGCTTAACATAGTGTAAAACCTATACCACATAAGTGTACAAAGTAGGCCTTTGAAATTTGTAGCATAGCAACAACATTCAAAATAAATATGGCCTATTTATTCTTCGAGATTCCCAAAATGTTAAAATAATGGAGAAAAGATATTATTATGTTCTTAGAACAAAGAACTTCTTCTTCAATCTGAAATATATTGGAAAGTCTTAATATTACAGACATTCAATCAAATTAGATCCGTATCCAAGTTTCTACAATGAATTGTCATCTCCACAAGAAGCCATTATTTTTTTTTGCCTCTGTCAGAAAACGCTATACCGATTTCTTCTACGTAGAAAAGAAATTTCGCAATATAATTGTTGTTCTATTCTAGGGTATATACTTTTTCTTTTTTCTACAGCTGATGAAAGAATGTTCTGTATTTTTTCTGCGTCATTTCTAAAAACGTGATCAACAGAACAAAACCTTGACAATGTCACATCAACTTATTTCCTAGATATTATTATCATTCTTTATAACACATATCGCATAAAAAAACATACGAAACAATATATGTACACGATTTGTATTATAGGCGAGCAACCTTGGATGTTGTTCTGTTAAAAAGGTGTTAGTTATTTCAATTTTCGATCATTTCATACTCTTTCATGGCACGTTTTATAAATAGATCTTGTTCCGATAGCCAACAACTCGTCTGATGATCTTCTGGTATAAATGGATGGAGTAGGGTGAGAGTCGGAAAAAAGTTGAGAAAGGAATGATGACGATTGTTTAACTGATTTTCATGGAACATATGGTACGGTAGTTAGAAAGTGCGACACCGAGATCTTCTATGGCATCTCGACTTTGGTTACGCTAATTTTTTCAGCAATTTTCGATGGAACAAATGGTTATCTCATTAAAGTTCCTTTTCCTTGGCTTCGGTCTTAAGCACACTTCAGAGCAGTATCGGACTCGAGATGAGTCCTGCACATTTCTAACGGCAGGCCGCAGTCTAGAGAAAATTTCCTGAGAACGTCAGAGTACTATGTGGTTTTGAATCCGGCTCGGGTACCACATTCCATGAGGTTAATTTCAGATGTTCTTTCTCTTGATAACAATGAAATTACGTTCTTTTTTTATCATATGCGAAATGGAACGACGAAATTATTCTAAAAAAAGAAAAAGAAAACGCAATAGATGTTCTTTTTTCTTTCGTTGTTCGAGAGAGAGAGAGAGAAATGTCATTCTGCTGCTTAATAGATATATATATTTATTGATTTTCTTCTCTTACACAAGCATATTTATAAGCGATAACTCTGAACTAAACTCTTTATATTACACAATTCGTTCACATTGTCAACTAACGAGAAGAAAGCATGTCTACTACCCGTTATCCTGATATAGTTCAACAAGCATTACATAATGATGATGCTAATCGTCGTCCTTCAATGAGTGATCAAAATACAGCAAGCGATGACAGTGCTAGTTATCCATCAGGTCAAGAAGCTCGACGTTCATCACTATCACATGAACCAACAGCTATGGAACAAAAATGTCTTGATGACTGGGGATTTTAATTCTCAATGGCATGACCTCATCACAACGATAATAAAGTAACTCATTAATCACTCTACCGAACATATTTAAACCCAAAACTACATGTAAATAACTTTTTTGTTGAATGTACAAATTGTTTTTCCATTTTTAGTTAGATAAAAGTAGTTTGCTAAGAATTTTAATAAAAAGAAATGCGATAAAGATGCTTCCATCTTAACGTAATATTTTATCTGATGATAGTCAACTGGAAGTAAGGGTAGCCATCAAAAATAAATCTACGCGTAGACGTAGACCATAGTCTACGCGTGGATGTAGATCAATATCACTCTCTTTTCTTTTTCTTTCTCTGACTTTGCTGAATGAAACAAATCGGATACATTTCTGTGTACAGAATAGAACAAATTTTCATTTTTTTATTCTCCGCTACACAATCTAACGCAATCTAAAGCTGAACTGTATTCTTTCTGTTTATAAATATAAGTTACACATAGATATATATTTATATATTCGTTTTCAAATAAAATAATCTAATAGATATAAGAACGTTTACATTTTAATGAACGAAATGAAAAAGAATAAATTTTCTATTCTAGCGTGAATATAGTTTTCTACGTTTTTCTCTCTCATTGTGAATTGAATACATACATAATCCATCAACTTGATCAATTAATGTCGCATTAAGTTGAGAGTATTTAATTGCCCTTTTTACTCTAACTCGGAGTGCACAAGTTACACATTATGCTCAGCTATTTTTCAGAAAAAGGTCACCTGAATTTGTAGAGATATTGAACCATCAATACACACCAAAAAAGTAAATTTTTTTTTCAATATAAGTGTTTTGGGCAAACAATCGTATTCTCGATCAGATAACTCAAGAATACGCGTAGACTGTACTCTACTTCTGTGTATACGCGTAGACTTATTTTTCATAAGTCTATACACAGAATAGAACAAATTTTCATTCTTGATTAATAGTTACAAAATCTAATAGAATTTAAAGCTGAACTGTATTCTTCCTCTTTTTTATACATATTATATATATTTATACATATATTTATACATCCGTGTTCGAATCATATAATCTATTCTATTGCCGTATGAAGATTTTTTTCTTTTCAACGAAAGCGAAAACATGTTAGAAATTTTCCGGATTTTTGCACAACTTATCTAACTAAAATAGCCTTAATTTAAGAGGTACCCCTAGATATAAATATATATCTATGTGTAACTTATATTTATAAACAGAAAGAATACAGTTCAGCTTTAGATTGCGTTAGATTGTGTAGCGGAGAATAAAAAAATGAAAATTTGTTCTATTCTGTACACAGAAATGTATCCGATTTGTTTCATTCAGCAAAGTCAGAGAAAGAAAAAGAAAAGAGAGTGATATTGATCTACATCCACGTGTAGACTATGGTCTACGTCTACGTCTACGCGTAGATTTATTTTTGATGGTTTCCCTAAACGAGATCCTGCCTCACTGTGTTTAAAGTCAGGAATAGTTCTGAAACAAAGAGATCCCATGAAACTATGAAAAATTTGCCGGTCTATTCCTTGTATGAACGCTATGGAAAAGATTTTACATATAAGCTGGGAGTTCATTGTCAATGGAAATACGAAAATACCCGGTGGTAAACACACCATTTACTTTGTGAACAATTCTCCAGAATCCATGCTGAAAAAAATGAACTCAAGGTTTTGAAAGTTTACAAGTTTAGAACCAATAAAAACGAGTTCGAGTGCAATGACAAATCGATGGAGCCACAAATATGAAACTTTATCTCAAAATATGTACATAACAACAAGCAGAAAGCCATGAAGACCGAAGCCTATAAGAGCTGATATTCTGATTCTGACATCAACTAACGGTATAATTAGAAGACTTATGTCGTCCTACGATAAATCGACACCTACTGTAGATTTCAATCGATTTCTTGTTGTGTATTACGAGTAAATATTACACCGTAGAAACTGTTCAACCGATATTCGAGTTTTCCGTTCAGACATGATAGGTGACGGCAACATACTTAGGATGATTTCTAAACGTTTTTAATCAGGACTTCCTTCCTTCAAAAGCTTTGGAACTTCTTGTAAAAGCTCTGAATAAAGCCTGACAGCCTAAAACAATATGTTATGGCAATGAAAATTATTGTCTCTTTTATGAGTGTATTTCTGTCTATGGATGAGTCTATTGATGTGTAATGACATCATTTCAAGCGTACTCTAACTAGATAAACTGAATATTCAATTGACAAATATGATTGCAGAATATATCTTTTGATTTCTATGGTATAAACTCACACTTTAGAATGATTGAAGTGAAAGTACAAGAAATAAATTTAAAAAAGAACACCTCATGTTGCGAAAAAAACCCAGTCCAACTGTTGGTTGGAGTTGTTTTCCGGTAACTCCATTTTCTTATAACTTATTAACTATATTGATCAGGCAGCTTGCGATGATAAAACCTGTAAACAGTCAGCTGACTTATGGCTAGCTATTCTATGAATATCAACATAAAATCCCGAAAAAAAGAAATGATATTTTATGCATTATGATCTAAAACTGAGCATAAAATCCAAAATAAAGAATTATCCCATGGAGACAATTTTAATTTAGAAAGAACTAGAGTAATGCGGTAAACTTGACGCTGAATATTTCGATTCGCACGTCTATCTTCGAAAAAAAAATCGAAATATTTTAAAATATGGCTCAGCTGTACTCTCACTGACCTGAGGAAGTAAATAAACATTGTCACAATGATTTTGTCAAGTCTTGACTACAAGATAACGAAACCCGCATGTCTCCATCTGATTGCGTTCAGAAGTTATTAAACAAGCGAACGAGTAAACTCTATTTTGAATCACATAGTAAGGCGCTCAAAATTCAAACGTAAAGCGCTATTTTATTTTTGGCTTAAAGATACAGCATTAGAGCTTTTCACACTGATTACGAATATCTTACTTTCAGTCCGCCTAGTGCACGTTTTCTAAGAAAACAAAATTCAAAATATTGGAGGAGGCCGTTTGTTTTGAAAAACGATGACTTTTCAAAAATCAGACTACACCTCGGTTTCACATGATTCAGGAAAAGTGTTTTTCGAAATCAGCGTGAAAAACTGCATACAGGGAAGCGTATTTGAAGGTTCCAGAGCCATGAGAAGTGTTTGATCTCTCGTCAAACTTTGGAGGGCTCCAGTTTCGATCCTATTCACTCGTAAACCTATCTAGTTTTTTCTGTAAAGAGATGGAGCCTTGATTCTGACGCCATTTGAATCGTCCTGAATGTAGTTTTTCACGCTGATTTCGAAAAACACTTTTGAAAGGTTTCAAAACCACGTGAAACCGAGATATAGTCTGATTTTTGAAAAGTCATCATGTTTGAAAAAAAAAAAAAATCACCCTCACCCTCAATGTTTTTTCGTAGAAAACGTGCACTAAGCGGACTGAAAATAAGATATTTGTGACCGGTGTGAAAAACTGCATCGACTGGTGTATCTTTAAACCAAAAATAAAATAGTGCTTTACGTTTGAATTTGGAGCACCTTAGTAAGTTAAGTTTTGACTTGTACACGATTGGAAATAATATTTTTCCAGGGGGCTAGAGCTGAAACTACAGATGATAAAAAAATGTATTATATACCAAATTAATGTTCATCTAAAATGGAACTGATGTGTATGACTGAGATTCCGTATGACGATTATTGACTGTAGAACTATGGAAGTTTCTATCGAGTGCATCATAATGAATGAGCCTCTCAGTATTTTCTATTTTTCTCGTGTACGTTCAGGATCTC